CTGTTTACAAAAAAAAAAACAGATGTTTACTCCAGCACATGTAGACATTAAAGACAGGGTGTTTCAAAAAAGTTTTCCTTTTATTTTATTATATGCTCCTTAGCCTTTTGAACAGGAGTAGAGATTTATCCCTTGTTTCCAATTTCTTCTGGAATATACTTTGACACTATACTTATAACATTCCCGTCTGAACACAAATTTTATTTATTAATTTTTTTCTTCGCAATAGGGATAGATACATTTGCATATTGTCCAGTTCACAATTGTCCACGGTCTTTTGAACAGGAGTGGAGGTTTATTTTTTGTTCCCTGTTTAGGATTGAATTTCTGCTTCCTTCTAAAGTATTTTCGTTTTCTTTCACTCCCAGTGACTCCTTGCATCTTAATGACATTATTGCCTTGCTTATTGGGAGGGGGTATGATTTTAATTTCTTTTTTTCTAAATATAACATTATTAAAAAAAATTTCTTAAAAACCAGATAAATTATATTTTGATGTTTTTAGGTTTGGTTTAATTTCTTTTATGGCATATCAACCTCAATGGGTTATTTAATGCCAAGAATTTTTTTATTGCTGCTAATATTTTGTTTTGTCAAAAATTTGTTTCTGGTAATATTTTTCCTTCAAAATTGTATTGCTGGTAATAATCTCTTGCTGCTCGATGTAGTTTATCGTCTTACCCAGGACGTGGATGTAGTTTAACGTCTTACCCAGGACAATTGATGTTTTTAGCTTAATTTTATTTTATTTACTTACTATATATATATATATATATATATATATATATATATATATATATATATATATATATATACTGCATATCATGCGACTTTTGAAGACCTAATTTTGAAGCTAATTTTAAGAGGGTCGCATCATACATGAGATAAAAATATTATATGCGAGTATATACGGTATCTATTTTTTTGTCTCCAGATCAGGTAAAGGATATTTGACTCAAATATGTAAGAAGAATGTTCGATATATTTGAGCGCTTTCAACAATCATTGGTCAGTATCACTAACACGATGTTACAGTTTGAAAATTCAGACATAAATATATTGAATTTTCTATCATGGCGTTCACTTGAATTTTACGATTTGCCAATGGCATCTTTTGCCAGCTACTTACCACAGATATGTAACCGCTTGCGATATTATCTGCATTGAACTTGTGTCAGATCCGTTGTAAGCAATTAATAATTGACACGTTGTAAATTTAATTCAAAGCAGGATTTTAATATGCAAGATTCTAACACGAAACGCCATGATGGAAAATTCAATATATTGAAGCATTGTCTTAATTTTCAAAGTATAACATGACGTTCTTGTTAATAATCAATGATGGTTGAAAATTCTTGAATATTTTAATCATTTGTATCACATAATGGAGTCCAATATCTGTTACGCAATATAGAGACAAGAAATCCAATAAAATATCAGTCTTCAATAAGAGTTCTTTATATACAATATACTAGCTTAAAAGGTGTCCTATCTGGCGGTATTTAAGCTACCTCCAGCGGAGGGCTCTTGATTGGGCCTTCATCACAATAGGTAGGGAAAAGTAGATGCGATAGGCAACAATAAACTACAGAAGAACTCAAATTTGATCACTGTATTTAAGTATTACATTAATATTTAAGCTTACCTTTTAAAAGTTCAACGATAATTCTTCTTCCAACATTAATTTAAAGATAATTTGATGTATGTCGTTCCTTACTTTCCTTACAAACAATTATCTTTATTTCATGGATGACTTTTGCTGGATTTCGCAATTAATTTCGATTATTCCCAAATTTATTTTCCAAATTATAGAAACTGTTATCGTACAAAAAAAGATCTGTTGCAAAAAGTCATGTTAAAAAGTCACCGAAAACAATCACAATAATCAAAATATGGGAATCCAAAATTTCAGGATTGGAGGTCTGGATCTGGTCTGGAATGTTTTTAATTTGCTCACAGTCAACCTGATTCCAAAATTGTATATGATGGGCTACGGCTTCTAGGAGTAAAGTTGAGAAAGTATGATACAGTGACACCCTGAGGATTGCCTTTATTATATAGAAGATAAGCTATTGAAATTTAGAGAGTTGTGTCCCTTTAAATGAAAAAGTGACACACTAACATTTGTATTTATTATATAAATATTTATCAGAAAATGTGTTTAGCAGAAGCAGCCTCAATTACGTGAACCCCCCCCCACACACACACACACACATAAACGTAAGATATAAACTAAGACCAAGCGATAGACAGCTACCTTAGTAATATACAGTACTCTGTCTAAATAAACAAGACAGAACAAATACACTTCCCAGTGTCTTGACTCGGAAAAAGACAAAGTTTGAACAGCTATTCAAGTTTCACGCCATCATCACGCAACCAGAACAGGCGTTCTGGTCACCTGATGATCGTGATAGTATGAAACTCTAGTAGCAGTTCAAACGTTGTTTCTAAGTTATGATGCAGGAAAGTGTATTTCTTCTGTCTTGGTAATTTTGACACAGAGCACTGTATATTAGTGCTAAGGTAGATAGATGTCTGTTTTGGGGGCTTTTCTTCTTAGTTTCTTTCCTTTTTCCCCT